AAAATGAAAACAGCAGAAGAAATGAATTCACATGGACTCCAAACAAGGTTAAGCATCACTCCCGTAACCAGCAAAGCAGAGAAGCAAAGCTGTATTTCCATATATCCTCGTTTCATAAATTCATTGGTAATGTGCACACCGGTTTGTGTTTTTGTACGTCCATGACAGTAGTGCTGTCGGGCCAGCAGAGAGACGAACTACGCGCAACAGAAGAAGAGTGTGACAGATGCCATGGGAGCAGACTGGCCGATCCACAGAGCTGGCAGACAGAACTCTCCACAGTGGGATTACCTCCTCTTATCTGCCCAGGTTCACTTATCCCTAATTTATTTCTCTTGTTTGCATGTTCATGAATGATTACATTTGTGTGGTTAGTAGCACTGTGAGACACTAATTAAATCACTATGTATATTGATTCTTATGTCATGGATCATCATTCTGAAACCTACCCACAGTTCTCAGGAGGTGGAGTGCTTTGACTCGAGTTTTTACACCATTGCCTGCATATTTTTATTTTTTATTTACCTTTATTTTTTATATATAGTGAAGTATGTGCTTATTTCCCTCTTTTGTTCATGACATAATAGCCAGTATGGCAACAGTAAGAAATCCATAAGAACCAGCTAACTGGACACAGCCGGCACCTCTTTGGCGAAAACTTTGAAGCATAAATTCAAATTAAGATGTTTCAGCCTAGAGAAAATGGTCTCTGTTCTGGGCGAGCTGGAATCCTTATTGGCCTGCATGAATCTGATAACTCTGACTGAACGCGATTTAATTAAACTGTCTGGCATTTTCGGTTTAGCTTCGGTGACTGTAGCACGCTCCTTCAGAATGATGCATGATGCTCTTAATGAAATGCAGGCGTCATCACCGCCGGCTGTGTTGTCCTCGTGTCTGATGGCTTGGGCGTGGCTCTGTCGCAGAATGCCATGGCCTGTTCCCCTCTGGGAGCCATACGCTGCACAGCATCCAATCATACACAGCCAATTATATTTCTCACCTGTATCCCAATTGCTCAGCAACACACCGAGCCCCTCTTCCCAGATCTGTTATAACCAGACACATTTATGTACCATCTGTGCTTTTGTGTGTGACTTTATTACTCTAGCTTACACAGGACTTTATAAACTGCATTCCGTTGGTGGGTGAACAAGGAAGCGTGATATTTTAACATAGGTAGACCCTGAAATCACCTTCCAAACCTCATACGTCACAACAGACCACAGATATTTATGCCAGAGCTGTACGTCACAGCGGCAACATGATCTGATAACTGGACCTCTGTTTTCCATTAATTTTTTGTGAATTAAATAGTGAGTATATATATATACACTCACCTAAAGGATTATTAGGAACACCTGTTCAATTTCTCATTAATGCAAATATCTAATCAACCAATCAGATGGCAGTTGCTTCAAT